CCCCCCCCCGCCCCGCCCCAGTTTTGCCACCTGCTGACCTTTCGTCTTGTCCTTCCCAAGGGCCACAGATCGTGCTCAGTGTGTATGGACCAGACGTGTTTGGGAACGATGTGGTTCGAGGCTATGGGGCAGTGCACTTGCCTTTCTCGCCCGGCAGGTAGGTCCTGGCTCTGACTGGTCCCTGGGCCGCAGTCCCTCCCTTGCTGGGCCGTGCTGGCTGAGAACCAGGGCACCCCCAGCAGGCCTTTTCCTGGGATGGATGTCACCTCTAGGCTGGGGATGCACTGGGGTCCCCAGGCGCCTGGGCAACTCGGCTTGGGGGCTGTGGATTAGAGCCCATATCTGGAAGGAGACCCACATGGGTGAAGCTAGGGCTGCCTCCCCCCCACCCCACCCCGAGACAGCGGGTGGGTGGGGGGAGTGTCAGAGGCCCTGGCAGGAAGCACCGGGGGATATCCTGCGAGGGGCTGGGCCCAGCGACAGAGTTCGCAGGCAGTTTGGGGCTGCGGCTCAGACTCCATCCACGCCTCTCTTTCCGCGCCACTCAGCGTCCCGCGAGCTCTTGCTAATCCCTCTTCTGTGCCCGGCCCTGCTGGCGTTAGTGTGATCACCTGGGCCCTTCCTCAGAAGCCCCCAGACTAGTAGACACAGACGGAGAGGAGCGACCGTGTTCTTAAGCACGGTGACAGGGTATGGACACAGCGTGTTCTGGGGCCCAGAGGACGGGAGTTTGTCTGGAGATGGTGGAGGAAGATGGAGGGACGGCGGGCACCAAATGCCCTGAGGAGTCTCGTTGCCGAGACAGAAAGTGCAAGACGTGAGGGGAGGTGTGTGGAGAGGAGTGGGGGACGGGGTGTGAGGGGCAGGCCTGGGGCAGGTGGCCACGGCGGGGAAGGTCGGGGGGGTTCTCAGGGGCTTCCCGGAGGAAGGGCGTCCAAACTGGGCCGTGGAGGTGGCGGCACCTTTGGACGTGTGGAGGCCGGAGCCTCTGAGGGGCGCGTGAGCCGGGACCCCGGGCCGGACGGCTGTAGCCCTCTGTATCCTCCTGACCCTTTGAAAGAAACAAGACTCGCGGGGCCTCTGGCCTCCCAGAGGCCGGGCCCGCTCTCCCCGCCTCAGCCTCCCGGCGCTCAGCACCCAGCCCGGGCCCGGTGGGTGCAGCCCCTGCCAGCCGACGGGTTGGCCTTGCCGCTGACCTGGCACCGCCCGTCTGACAGCTCCTGCTCGCGGGAGGCTCAGGAAGTTCGTCACTCTTCTGTGACTCGGCACACGTGTCCGTGAAAACATTTGTTTCAGGCACAAAAGGACCATCCCCATGTTTGTCCCAGAATCCACGTCTAAACTGCAAAAGTTTACGAGGTGAGTTTCGTACGCGTCGCCTCCAGCCCCTCCTTCTGACCTAAGCAGGGGGGGCGCAGGGAGGGCTGTCACGGTCCCCCCCTCACTTGTGCCGGGCAACCTCGTCGCATCTTCCTGCTGCTCTGTCTTTGGGGACAAATGGAAGCGGGGGCTGTGTGGTTTCCGGGGGTCGCTGGGCTCCCTTCAGCCACCGTTCCAGCCGCGTAAGGCCGTGCGCCATTACCCTGGGCCACGTTAACAGCCTTTGGTCAGAGCAGAGCAGATGGGGAAATGCTCGTGGCATAATATGACGTTAAAAAGGTAGGACGCGGGAGGGTACAGCAGTAAGAGCCGAACAGAACGGCACCGATACTCCTGGTGGGCAGTTTCCGTCAGGAAATGCCTCACAGCGGGGCCTCTTCAAGGGGGTGACATCTGTGCAGAGACTAGAGCAGAGGTAAGGGCCAGGGTGGGCGATGTGGGGAAGGAATGTTCCAGACATAGGAAAACCGCATGTGCAAGGCCCACGGGCTTCATGTGTGAGGAGCGGCAAGGACGGGGTGTCGCTGGTAAGTGGTGGTGCGGGGTGGGGTGGGGGACACCCGGGAGGCAGGGTGGCTGGCGCACGGATGTGGGGGAGACCGGGCCCAGGCCTCTTGCCCCTCACTGCCTCCACGTCGAAGTTCGGAGGGCCGGCCGACTCGAGGTCGGGGCCAGAAGCTCCTGTCAGCTTAGCACGGCGGCCAGCCGCCCCTGCTCCCTGCCAGCTCAGCCAGGAGCGGGCCCTGGGCCCTCTGCTCACAGGCAGGACGACGTGAGGGGATGGAGGACCGTCTGGCTCCCCGGGTAGCAGCCGACGAGCAGCCCCCGGCAGGCCTGGCCGGTCGGGGTGAGCCTTGGCCGGAGCCCTGCCGCGCAGAGGGACGGCGCTGGACCTGAGCCAGGGAGGCCTCCCTGAGTTCTGGGTCCCGGGGGAGGGGTGAACTGGGGTGCCCCCTGCCCTCTGGGAGGCCACCGTGACGGGAAGGGGCTTATTAGCCGGTGCCCTGGGCCAGCGGAAGCTAGAGAGGACGCCACCCGCCCCGTGGGACCGTCGGGAAGGTGGGGGCGGTGCCCATCGGCGGGTGCCGGGAGGTTAAGGGCTTTTGAGCCCACACAGCTGCCCAGGGCCGGGGCGTTCATGCCACGCTGAGGGCAGCCTGGGTCTCAGGGCCAGGGCCCTCTGAGGAAAGGGTTTCGTTGCTGAGGAAGTTAGGCCTTACGGCTCACACGGCAGGCGAAGTTTCTGCCGGTGCCCCAGGGACAGCAGCTCGGGGCAGGGGACCATCTCCTCTGGGCAAGGCTGCGTGTGCTTGGACTGCAGACACCGGAGGAAGGTCTGATTAGCGAAGGCGGTTTGATCAAAATCTTCCCAGACACGGCCCGGCGCGCGTGGAGGCCGGCGTGTCACTGGCTCCCAGTGGCCTTTGCTCCCGCAGGAGGCTTCTCGTTCCTGCCTCCGCGGCCGCCTGGCCCGGCCCGGCCCGGCCCACTCAGCCCCGTATTAGTTTCCTGGGCTGCTGTAACCAATCACCACCAACTCGAGGCTTAAATGACAGACATTTTTTTCTCATGGTCCAAAGTCAGTATCACTGGGCTGCGATCAAGGTACCCGGCAGGGTGCGCTCCCCCCCCCCCCCCCCCCCCCCCCCCCCACCCCTCGCCAAGACTCTAGAGGACAATCTGTTCCCAGCCCCTTCCCGCTCCTGGTGGCTGCGGCTGCATCGCTCCAGTGTCCTCTGCAGTCACGTGTATGACCTCACGTGTCACCTCCTCCCCTGTGTCACATCTCCCTCCGCATCTCTTAGGACACTGGTGATGGCATTTAGGGTCCATCCAGATAATCCAGGACAGTCTCCCCACGTTAAAGATCCTCACCTTAATCTCACATGCAAAGGTCCTTTTCCCAAATAAGGTCACATTTGCAAGTTCCAGGGATTAGGACCTGATATCTTGGGGGCCATTATCCAGCCTATGACAGCGCCTCCCATCTAGTCTTCACGTAGCGACAAAAATGGTTTTCTAAAACAGCTTTAGAAACCACTCGAGCACATCTCTGCATTTACCGTTAACTTCAGCTAGGATGTTGCGAGGCCCTGCGTTCTCCTGCCCTGCTGCCTTTGGGCCCTCTCCCCTGCCCGCACGTGCCCTCTGACTTGGTTCCTCCAGCCCCCTGCAGCCCTCCCTGCCTCAGGCCCTTGCCTGGACGGGCGCTCAACCCTACCCTGAACCATCTGCCCTCCTGCGCCTCAGGAGAGGAAGCAACGCACTGGCTCTGGTAGCTCTGGGTATGGGTGCTCAGGGTGTGCCACGCTCGTGGTGGCTGCTTCCCGTGCCTGCGAGGTGCACAGTCCCACTCCTCAGATGGAGACGCTGAGGCACAGAGAAGTGGCGATACGCCCATCCAGGCCTGGCTGGAACCCTGGCTTCCCAGTCCGCCTCCCATCTCTCTCTCTCTCTCTCTCTCTCTTTTTCAGCTGGGAGCCAGTGAGCGCCTTACTGGGTGTCACTGGAGCTGCAGACAGCAGGGGGCAGGCATTGCTTCCTCCCCTAGGCAGCAGCCGGTGGGCTGGGGGCCAGGGCTGGCTCACTCGGGGTGGCCTGGGCCAAGGGGTGACTCCAGCTGGAGCTGGAGGGGTGTTGCTCGGGAAGGGTGGCTTCGCTGGGGCAGAGTGCAGGCCACTGTAGCGGGAGGCAGGGCAGAGCCTGCTCTGGGAATGCCGGAACCTGGGCCTGGACCGATAGAGGGGCCTCCTTCCCTGTGGGGAGCCCACCACCCACAGCTACATCACTGGTCCCCCCTGCCACCAGCCGGGCCCCAGAACGCAGGCTGGAAGCGCTCCTGCATGGGACACCTGGCCCACCCGGTCGGGAATGGGCCCCGGGAGGGTTTCCCGGCCTGAATGCATGTGTTGGAGGTGAGGCTCTGGCCGGCTGAACTGGGACGGAGGGGAGGCCCCGCCTCACCTCCCTGCCTGTAGCCTTGGGCATGTCACCACACCGCCCTTAGCCTCTGACAGGCGGGGGTTTACAGACCAGGGCCCCTGTGAGAGGCAGGTGGACAGTGGGCATGGCAGGGTCCCTGGCACTGAGTGTGCCCCTCACATCAGTGACTGAGGAGTCAGGTGATCGTGTCTGTCACCCCAAAGCAAGCCCACCCTTGGGGCAGGTGCATTTATGCAAGAGGCATAAATAGGAGGGCTAATGTTTCTCATGGTAGTTGACAGAGTGCATTCACCTAGAGCCTGGGGAGCTAGGTACCATTAGGTACAGGTGAGAGGCACTGGGGCTCAAGGGTTCAGACATGGCAAGTGACTTGCGCGGGATCCCACACCATTGAGAGGAAAGTGGAGAGCCCAGGTCTGGCCCCTCTGCCCACCCCAAGGATGCTGAACTCCCAGATATGGGGGGGCGGGGGGGGGGCGTCACATCATGCTGCCGTCCTCTTTCTGGGATTTCCACTTGGGTTCCCACCGTGCCCCCAGCCCCACATGTCCCTCAAAGCCATGGGTGACTGTGATAGGAAAGCCCGGCATCCAGCTGAGGAGGGGTGGGGCACAGAGCCCCACACGCCTGCTGGAAGCCACACGTGGCACCCAGACTCACCTTCCCGGGCAGAGGGAGGTGGCGTGGGAAGGTTGTGCCCAGGGTCCAGCCCTAGGACAGGGCTTGGAGGAGGGCTGCTGGTTTCTGCAGCAGGGGGAGAGCCCATGTCTCAGGGCTGAGGGATGGCCAGGCAAAGGATCTGCTCACCCAGGGTCTCCTGTCTTCCAGCTGGTTCATGGGACGGCGGCCCGAGTACACAGACCCCAAGGTGGTGGCTCAGGGTGAAGGCCGGGAAGGTAAAGCTTGATCCCCTCAACCCCACCCCCACCCCACAGGCAAGCTGGAGCCTGGGAGAGACTGGGGAGACCCCCACGCAACAGGGTGGAAGCCAGAGACCCGCCAGGCACGCAGAGGGAGTGCAGGGGCAGGGCCCAGGCATTTCCCCAGAGCACCTCCCAGGGAAGGGCACGGGCCCGGGAGTCATTCCCATTTTACAGGAGAAAACGCTGAGGCTGAGAGACTCCCAAAGCAGCCCAGCTGATGCCGCCCTTCTCTTCCCAGTGACCCGCGTCCGCTCTCAGGGCTTTGTCACTCTCCTCTTCAACGTGGTGACCAAGGACATGAGGAAGCTGGGCTACGACACTGGGCCTTCTGACACGCAGGGCGTCTCCGGGCCCAGCCCACCGCCAGGACGCCCCCTGTGAAGGCACCCAGCCCCTACCCCCGCCCACCGGACCAGGCCCCGCCCGCCAGACCGGCCGTCCTCAGACAAAGCAGGTTGTCCTTCCAGAGAGTTGGCCTCGGATACATCTGCTTGACGCGTGGCCTCGTGGGACTGGGAAAGGGGGTGGGTGGAGGTTTTTATATAATAAAGCATCACCTTTTCACAGAACCTGGGCCTGGAGCTGCCTCCTCTCCCCTTTGGCCCCTCCCCCGACCCTGTACGGCGAAGGGACTGAAGCTGCCCCGAGAGAGGCACGGCCGGCGGGACAGCCACCTAGGCTGTGAGCCTCGCTCCAAGCCCGGTTCTGCCACTCGTGGCTGTGCGGCCTTTTCTTCGCCTTAACACGCTCATCCCCAACACAGGTGTGTCCCCAAGGCCGAGGGCCTCCTCGGCGTCGCGCAGCAGGCTTGCTGGGTGCCCGGCCACAGTGCCCGCTGTGGGGCGTGACCGCCTGCTTCCCCTGGCAAGAAGACAGAGCCCCGTCGGTAGGAGCTGCAAGGAGAGGCCTCCCGGCCTGCCCTCTGCTGGCCCCCAACCCCGCAGCCCAGACGATGGGGCTGCAGTCCTCCCAGAGGCGGGGAGGCGCCGGAATCCCAGCTTTCTGGTCTCCCACGGGACAGGAGGGTGCGCCGTGCAGCCCAGCAGCCCGCACTCTGGGAGCTGAGCCCTCGCAACGCACAGGTCCCCGTGGCTTGGTGGTCACCCAGCCTGCCCTCAGCCTGGGGACGGGAGCCAGAGCTCGCCCGGGGTTCCTCGCCGCCTGGCGCTGCGTGGGCCTGATTTAAGGGAAGCCGCAAAGTGCCTGCGCCCAGCTCTTGGTAACCCCCTGGCTCCCGGCCTGAAGGCCACCAGCCTTGCCCCTACACACTGCCCTGCAATTGGAAACTGGCCTCCGACACTACTGAGCGGACCCCGTTCTGTCCTTTACCTCACTCAGTTCTCTCTGCACCAGAACTTTGTGCTGCCCGGGCACCCCCGGCCCCAGCCCCCAGCTCCCTGTGTGCTCTGGAACGTGTGGTCTGTCGTCAGCAAAATTCCTAGGATTCTGAGCCGCTTCTCTGAATGCAAAGTTCCCTCCACCTCTGTCCTGTGCTGAAACCCGCACTGTCCCTGGCCACACTCTTTCCCCCCGCACCCTAACAAGTCCTGGCCGCTTATGCTCACAGCCCTCTTAAACGGTGTCTTTTTGCTGCCACACGCCACGTCCCACGGGCCCAGAGATGAGCTTCGTCCTGGCTCCCAGCAGCATTTCCGCCTTCGTGTCCCAGCCCCCAGGACTGACGTCCACCAGAGACCTGACTACCTTGCCCTCGGCCTTTTTCTCCGGCTATTCTTTTTTCTTAAGTTTATTTTGAGAGAGAGAGAGAGAGAGAGAGGGCAATCACAAGTGGGGAAGGGGCAGAGAGAGAGGGAAAGAGAGAAATTCCCATCAGGCTCCATCCTACCAGAGCAAAGCCCGACATAGGGCCCCATCCCTTGACGGTGTGGTCACAACCTGAGCCGAAATCAAGAGTTGGGACGCTCAACCGACTGAGCCACCCAGGCGCCCCTCCAGCTAATCGTGACAACTTCACCACCTACGCAGATGACCCTCCCCACGACTTGGCCTCTTCCTCAGCCTCCTCCCTTGCCATGGCCTTGGCCTTGCCCCTCAGCAGCCGCCCATCCCACCACCTGTTTCTTGTTACCAGTGCCTCCAAGAGAGCCACCCAGGCTTCCCCCTCCCAGCCCACTCCCTCCCCACCTTGTGGTTCCTTTCCTGCGGTCCCCCCTCAACAGAACATTGCATCCGGGTCCTCCAAGCTGCCCACCACCCCCTTCGTGCTGGCCATCGGCCCCTCGTCTCCTTTCCTCCCTGCCCAGTTCAGAACTCACAGTTGTCTGGGAATGCGAACTGGTGCAGCCGCTCTGGGAAACAGTATGGAGGTTCCTCAAGAAACTAAAAACAGAACTACCCTAGGACCCAGCAACTGCACTTCTAGGCATTCCTCCACGGGATACAGATGTGCTGTTTTGAAGGGACACATGCACCCCCATGTTTCTAGCAGCACTATCGACAATAGGCAAAGTATGGAAAGAGCCCAAATGTCGATGGATGAGTGGATAAAGAAGATGTGGTATATATACACAATGGAGTATCACTCGGCAATCAAAAAGAATGAAATCTTGCCATGTGCAACTACGTGGGTGGAACTGGAGGGTATTATGCTAAGTGAAATGAGTCAGAGAAAGACAAATATCGTATGACTTCACTCATACGAGGACTTTAAGAGACACAACAGATGAACATAAGGGAAGGGAAGCAAAAATAATACAAAAACAGGAAGGGGGACAAAACAGAAGAGACTCATAAATATGGAGAACAAACAGAGGGTTACGGGAGGGGTGGTGGGAGGGGGGGATGGGCTCAATGGGTAAGGGGCGCTAAGGAATCTACTCCTGAAATCATTGTTGCGCTAGATGCGAACTGATGTGGATGTAAGTTAAAGAAAAAAATCAAATAAAAAAAAAAAAAGTCACAGTTGTCATTACAGGCACATTCATCCGATGCCCTCAACTGCTGTGCCCGTGTCCCCTCCCATGTCCTCATCCGGCCATCCTGGGCCCCACGAAAGCTAGCCCTGGGCCCGCGCGGTGCTGCGGGGCCAGGGCATGGTCACAGAGGCCAGGCCAGGACTGCCAGGCTCGGTCCGCGGCCAGGGCTGCCTCCCAGCTGCAGGCGGACCCCGCCGTCCCCAGCCAGCTCTGCTGGCATCTCAGAGAAAACTCCTCCACGTCTTTGTCCCTCTTCCAACCTCCAGGAGCCCTCACCCTCCGCTGCAGGGCTCACGAGGAGAAGGAAATGATCCAAGACGGTGCCTGGGTGGCTCAGTCAGAAGAGCATGGGACTCTTCATCTTGGGGTTTGTGAGTTCGAGCTCCACGCGGCTCTTGGCTTGCGAACAGCTGCACCCAGCGAAACCCGGGCCCTCCACAGGCCTCTCCTCTCTCCTCCTCACCCTCCTGCAGCTCCGAGGGGCCGAACCCCTCCCATCAGGCCCAGCGTGCCAGCACCGATGACGTAGCGTGCTTCACCCTCCTCTCGTCCTCTTCCATTTTGCAGTTAAAAAAAATTTTTTAATGTTTATTTTTGAGAGAGAGAGAGAGCACGAGCAGGGGAGGGACAGAGAGAGAGGGAGACACAGAATCCGAAGCAGGCTCCAGACTCCGAGCTGTCAGCACAGAGCCCGACGCGGGGCTCGAACTCACGAGCCGCGAGATCGTGACCTGAGCTGAAGTCGGACGCTCAACCCACTGAGCCACCCAGGTGCCTCCATTTTGCAGTTTTTTTAATTTATCAACATTTTCTTATTAACATGTTTAAGCACGGAAAAAGCTGGACTGTCCCAGTGAATGGCCGGCTGCATATTAGCCGCCTAGACTCCTGTCGCCATCTCCCCACCCTTGCGTTCGCCTCCCCCCTTCCATCCGTCCAAGTTTTAGTGCAAAATAGACCTCAGACATCACTGCACCTCCTTCTGCAACATGTCAGCCCGCCTCGCCTTAACTAGGGTTCGGTGCTTGTTTTTCAGCTGCCACTTCTTTTGAGGGGACATTTAAGCGAAATGAAATGCAGAAATCTTAATTCTCACGCACGCACCGAGTTTCGACCAATGCGTACCCTTCAGCCTCCTTGTCAAGGTGTAGAATGTGACCATCTCCTCAGAAAGCTGCCTCGTGCCTCTTCCCAGTCAGGGCAGGAGAATGCTAGAAACTTCAGAGGCTGAGGGCATTCTGTGCCTGGGCACTGGGGAAGCAGGGTGGAGATCTGTGAGCATCCACACAAAGAACAGTCAAAGGGGATGGCCCCGAGGTCACCCCTTGCTGTTCCCTCTGTCCTCCACCGTGAGAAAGCTGTGTGCTCACTAGAACATCTCCTTTTTCTCCTGGGCTCACAAGAAGACTGCGTTTTCCCAGGGCCCCGTGGTACACAGGTGGGTCCCTGTGAGTTGTTCTGGCCAAAGAAACGTGGGTTTGAAAGATGTTCACCACTTATAGGCCCGACCCATTTAAAACCTCCCTTGAGCGACCCTTGCACTTGGAAAGCTAGCACAGTGAAGCGGTGAGCTCAGGAAAGCTGAATGACAGACACGGAGAATCCAGAACTTTGGGGGCATGGAGAGGTTGGAAAAGGAATTGGTTTCTAGAAGCCGATGGGACTTGGGGGAACAGATAAGAAACAGACGGGAAGAGGGAAGAAACAAAACTGGTTGGGACACTAAAGTCCTAGTAAAACTTCTCATCGGGACAAGTAACAGCCTCCCGGGAAGTATCAGGTTTAAGGGGTGACGCTCCTCCCGTTATCCCAAATGGCCTCAACAGGGGCTGCAGGAAGTCGCAACAATATGAGGGTAAGACAGCAAGGAAATAGGGCAGAATTCTGTGTGTGCTTGTTCTCTACTGCTGTGTAACAAATTACCCCCACATACGCTCTCTGGTGGTTCTGTGTGCGACCCTAGGATGCCGCCCTCGGGGGTAGGGGCACACTCTATGTGTAGAAGAATGAAATCTGCATTTGGTGGCCACAAGCCCTGCTGTGACAGAGACCAGCCGTGTTAACCCAACTCACATCCCATCCCCCAGGGCACAAAGGAAGCCTGCATTTCCCCCTTTCCCTGCTCCTAGCTGGAGCCCTGGGGCCGGTGCTGGCGAGGGTTCGGGGAGAAGCCACCGCCAGACTTGGCCCTCATGAAACCTCACCCTCCTCGCTCTGCTCGCTCACTGCCTTCCCCGCAGACCTCAGGGCCACGTGTGTCGAGGGTGGCGGTGTCACGAGAAGGAGCAGCTGGGGTCCCCGATCACTGCTTGGAGAGCCGCCCGACCAACCAGGCACTGGACTCTAAGAAGTAAGCGGGTTGTCATGCCACGGAGAGGTGGCTTTCGACGCAGCGTAACCCAGGGCACCCTGGCAGAGGGGCGCTCCCAGCTGCTCCGGACTCAGGCAAACCCTCCCCAGGGTCCCTGCTGAGTCCTGCTCCCGGAGCGGACGTCAGGCCAGGTCTTCGGCGGAGAGGTGCGTGTGCAGGGCTGCCCCGGGGCAGAGCTTGGGGCGAGGGGCCCTCACGGGAGGGAAGCTGCATGCCCGCCACCCCTCTCCTGCGTGGCGGGACTGACGTGCAGATGGGGGTGAGGGAAGGACACAGCCAGAAACCGCATCATGATACAAATGATAAATTATATTTGTACAGTAAATAAGTATCAATAGTCAACACAAGTTCAAAACCAGCCACCGGCCCCTTGGACTGAGAAAAGGGCTGGGTGACACCCCTACCACGGTGCCCATCAGGAGGGGGCGTGATGGCATGTGTGTTACACGTGTGGCAGCGGCCGGTGGCTTCATGATCAGTGCAGCAGGCAACAGGGACGAGGCGCCTGGGACGGGCCTGGGCCGAGAGGCGGGGAGGGACGGGGGTCTCCTGGGGCCTCGGTGGCCCAGTGGCTACCATGTTGGGGCCTCAAAGTCACGTCAGGAAGGGGTCTTGACTGTGACCAAGAATCACTGGCCAAGTAGTCAGGTTTGGTCTGCTGGCCTGTGACGGGGTCCGGGCTCGCACCATACGAGTGAAAGCACCTCCCTGGGGAAGCGGCCTGCAGAGGCCCCTCCCCCAGGTCGGAAGAGGCCAGACGTCGCCGGGGGCCCGTGGTCCAGCCCCAGGCCTCCGGCTCTGGCCGAGGTGTGGCCGGTTAGGAGCTCT